AGCCTCCAGACCCTGCGCCGCCGGAGCCCGGGAGGGGAAGTGCCCGGCTGGGGGCGCAGGGTCTGGAGGCTGCCCAGCAAACCGTGAAGCTGGTAGCGCTCGGGCTTTGGGCAGCCCCTATGCCTCCGGACCCTGCGCCCCCAGCCGGGCACTTCCCCTCCCGGGCTCCGGCGGCGCAGGGTCTGGAGGCACAGGGCTGCCCGAAGCCGGTAGCGCTGGGGCAGCCCGGCTCTTAGAGCCTAAGAGGAGCAGAGCCTCCAGCTGCGGGGGCTCTGCTCCTCTTCGGCTCTGTGTAACTTATACAGTGTAAGTTACGCAGAGCCGCCGGAGCCCCGGAAGGGAAGTGCCTGGCTGGGGGCGCAGGGTCCGGAGGCATAGGGGCTGCCCAAAGCCCGAGCGCTACCAGCTTCACGGTTTGCCGGGCAGCCTCCAGACCCTGCGCGCTGGGGCTCCAGCTGCGCTGGGGAAGCGCCGGCCGGGGGCGCAGGGTCTGGGGGCTGCCCGGCAAACCGTGAAGCTGGTAGCACTGGGGCAGCTTTCCCCCTGGCTGGGAGTGGGAGGGAGGAGGGGGCGGAGTTAGGGTGGGGGAAGGGGCGGAGTTGGGGCGGGGCTAGGGGTGGGGAAATGGGCGGGGCCATGGCCCGTGGAGGGTCCTCTTTTTTTATTTATGAGATATGGTAACCCTATTTTTGTATAACACAAAAAATGTAACTTTTCAGCAGTTGCCAGTCACATTTCAGGGCTGAAGCTGCATCACGGCATATATCTGTGCTACTTCAGTCTCAGACCCCATTCAGGAAAGTACTTAAGAACATACTTACCTTGCAATGAAGTTCAAGGGGACTTAACTACATGCTTGGCAAAGCTCAGGTCATGTGAGCTGACAAGCTATTGCTTCCCTTAGAAGAGGAATTGCTTCATCATACTGGAACAATGGCTTCTGAGTCTCATTGTTTTAAAACTTGTGCTTAGGAATCTTTTTGTTAACAAAATGATTTATCTTCATACTAAAAAAGGAGGAACCAAATTTTGCCATCTAGAAACACCCTTTATACTCTGTGGCTGTTTTTGCTGTTGAAAGCTGGATTGCTAAGTGTTCAAAAACTCGTAGTGACACAAGGCCCGATTTCCAGAGATGCTGAGCACGTCCAACTCCAAATGAAGACAATGGGAGTTGAGGGTGCTCAGTCCATTTGAAAATGAGGCCACATTGTGCTATCAGTCAATTTGGCCTAGCAGTTAGTGCATTGAGAAGCCTGGAGGCCTGTGGTCTAGTCCCTGTTCTACCAGTGCTTCTTTGTGTAGCCTGGGGCAACTCATCTAACCTTTCTATCTTGGTTCCACCATTGGTAATACGAGGACAATACTAATTTCTCTGACTTAGAGGATTAATCTTTGTAAAGTGCTTTAAGCATGTAAATTGTTATATAATAGCTAAATAATATTTTATTATTATTACCATGCAGGCCTCCTGTAAAGTCTACTATAAGCCAAGAAGCATCTTCTCCTCCCTTCCCCCTTCTTTCCCCACACCCCCATAAACAATCCCTCCTTTCCCCCATCCCTGCTCACATGAAGTTTGTCACCATGGAAGCCTCATTTAGTTTGCATCTCACTGAACTTGGGCTTCATTGCTGCAGCATGTTGTAGTGAAGTGCAAGGTGGTAACACAACAAGAGAGTGAAAGCCTGGATGAAGCTTTCGGAGGACACTTGCTAACTTCATTGCACAGGAGGCCTGTGGAAATCCTGCAGCTGAGAGATCTGCAGCTGGACCCATCATACTTCACCGTCGGGGCTATTGTGAGTCTCTGCACTTTTCCTCTCCATCAGCTCAGCCAGGCTGTAATTTTATGTCACCTAATGCAGGAGCCAGTTTACGCTGGCAAAGCAGGGATCACAGCAGGATGAACTTTGAGGAGGATTCAAAGCATAAATAGATCCCACATGGAAGTCAGGAAGGAACCTAACCCACCCCATCCCCTCCACAGACAGCAAACATAGCACTGCACAATTAGACAGGGGTAGTAGGAGGCTTTTTGCCTACTTTGGGAGCAACTAGTATTGGATACTCTCAGATGCAGGCGACTGGGCTAAATAGACCTGAATCAAATCCAATATGGCAAGTACTATGTTCCTATGTAGAAAATGATCTGCATCTGCAAAGAAGAAAATATTGTTTGTGCCCTTTTTCTTGTTGCTTTTTGATGTATGAAGAAGACCTGGTTTTAAAATGGTTTGTTTTTCTGCTCGTATTTTTACATTACACATTCAGACATTGTCTCCTCTCTTTCCCGGAAGACCCTATGGACAACTAGAGAAACTAGTAGGATTATGACATCACCAAAACCTGTAGAGGGAAACCTTAGCAACTGAGACTATCAGACTGTTTAGAAGTCGAATTCTGTTTTTTGTTAACACCTATATAACAAACCCCTGAGAAACAGTTGGGAGAAAAGACCTCATTGTTAAAAAAAATCAACATGCCTTCCCTTTCTCTGAAAGGCTAAGAGTTCCAAGTCCTACAGCACTCTGGGTCTCCAAGGAAACTTCCAGCAAAAACAGCAGAGATCAGACTATATTTCCAGTGTTTCTGAGAATAGCAAGTAGGAAATAATTTTGGAGGGAAGAATACCCCTTTCTGTCCGTCTGCATACATCATGACATTTTTAAAAGGGAAAGCTCCCCCGCCCTTCCTTTTCCCCTTTTCAGGTCACCCTTAATGTCTTTGGCTATTTACCACATACTCCCCCAGCAGATTTCACATTGGAAATCCAATCAGGAACTAATACAGCTCTGCAGTTAATTCATGAGTACCTTCTGTGACTGCCTCTGGGGAGGCATCTAATAGCAGCATTAAGGGAGGGGCTAGAAGGGCAGCTGTGCAGAGGCCATAGATCTCTGTGCCCCGAAATCTGTGGTTGACCTCATAAAATACAGGAAGGGCCAAGCCCTGCCTCTGTTCCTCATCCATTTTTATGAAATGAGAAGGAAACTCCTAACCTCTCCCCAGGTTTTTCCTGCTAGGGGATAACATGACCCTTAACAAAGTGATGGGATGGTGTTGTGATCCACGGATTGTTCTCCATGACATTGCCACAAAGTTACTGGTGCTCCACAAAGGGTTTTTCAAAGTTTGTAGCATGAAAACAACAATTTTTCTAAAATCATTATTTCATTATTATCATTATTTATTTTATTATATTTTATTTTAGGAATTTAATTAAAGAAAAATGACCCAGAGACTCTTAGGAAAACTTGATTCTCTGGAACAATATTCACGCAAAAGACTGGCCAAACATGCAAAGGTTGAAGTAAGTATGGAGCAAATGGAAATCATATCAAGGATAGACGCACCCGTTGTCAGCTTTGAAAGAACTGTTTCTTGAGTTATGCCAGCACCCACACACTATCGTGACTTGCACCATATAATAATATCTAAGGTAGATGGATGAGATAGATGGGAGAGGGAGAGACTGATTTATGTCTGACTGATGATTATTCCAGGCAACAAAGGAATACTGATAAAGCGAGCAGGTCATCTGGCAGCTGAGAAAAGCACAACATTAGAAGTGTGACAGGGAGTACCAAGCATTTGGCACCCCCTGCTGGAGGCCCTGCCTTTGGTGTACACTGCCCAAAGAAGGCATCCTTTGGAGGAAAATAGCGAGTTTAGACCTCCAAGAGTGGCCTAGAGAGGCCCCCCAAGATCAGCTGCTGGCAGAACTAATGAAAATTGGTCCTCCAGCAGCTAGAAGATTCGGGAGCAGGCGGAAGCCAGTCAGAGCCCAGCAGGCATGATCTTTTGAAGCTGCGGGCTGCAGTTTTTTTGTGAATCTCAGTGAGAAGTGAGCATTTTAAAAAGAACCCCTTCCCCCACTGGCATAACCTCAGATGCACCCCACGCCAATGGCTGCTTTTCTGACCATATGGCTATGGGAGGCCAATCATGTGCCTCTGAGTCCACATGCATTTTATTTAAAAAAATGATTTGGATTTGGATTTGCAGAGTAATTGTTGCCAAAGAGAAGTAGCCCAGACCCTCCACATGCCAGGCGAGCCTCCCCCACCCAATACAGCCTCCAGGGCCGGCTCCAGGCACCAGCCCACCAAGCTTGTGCTTGGGGTGGCACCTGGAGGGGGGCGGCGCGGCGCTCCGGCCCCCGGGGAGA